GTTTCCTTATAAAAGTTTTTTGTCAGGTGTCTTTTTTTAATGATATGACGCAATCGTTAGATAGTCGTTACGCAATCCGCAAATTCGTTAGATAACCAAATTAGCCAGAGATCAGTAATCACGTTTAGAAGATCTGGCATCTTTCAGATCATCTCCGATGTATTAAGCGAGGTATGAAGAATGGGCCCCAGTGCTCCGCTGCTTTGTTTACTGCCGTTACAGGAAAAACGGTTATATTTCTGCTGTTCCGAAAGCGCCACCTGAAAAAAAAAAAAAATTCACATTTAATTTATCTATTATACCATTGATGTAGTTTTGTTCACTTGGCTGTTTCCTTATAAAAGTTTTTTGTCAGGTGTCTTTTTTTAATGATATGACGCAATCGTTAGATAGTCGTTACGCAATCCGCAAATTCGTTAGATAACCAAATTAGCCAGAGATCAGTAATCACGTTTAGAAGATCTGGCATCTTTCAGATCATCTCCGATGTATTAAGCGAGGTATGAAGAACGGGCCCCAGTGCTCCGCTGCTTTGTTTACTGCCGTTACAGGAAAAACGGTTATATTTCTGCCGTTCCGAAAGCGCCACCTGCTGGCAGAGAATGAATGTGCCTTTTCAATGAGCCTGTTGTTTTTGTTCAGACCAATATGAAAATCGACCCATGTTTTTACCCTGCAAACACGCAGAGCTGTAAATGTGAACTGCTGTCTCAATGCATTATAAAAATCTAAACTAACATTTATTTATATGTAATTTAATTGATTGATAATTGTTTAAATGAATAAAAATGGTTTAAAGGCTGAAATGTGAAGTTTCATTTTAGAAAACTTTATTTTTGTGAAAACTTGTATCTGAACTGTAAATCATGCTTTTTACAGTTTAATATGTTACTATAGACATTGCCTTACCCCGCTCGTATGGTATTCATTTTATTTGTCCATCTTAAAAACTCTTAAATTTGAGCAGGTCTTAAAAACTCTTAAATTTGAGCTTAACAGAAACCCTGTTCAGAAAATGCACGTTCTCACTTTTTCACTTTCGTCTTCAAGGCCAACATTTATCAATCTGCCCGGCGACACAAGATGCTGTGTTTCCATGGTTACCAGCGAAGAGCGGTGGTGGTTCTTCCACCTGATGAGGTGTGGAGGAGACGTCTTGTACAGCGGCAAGAGCAGGAGGGCACGGCCCTTCAGGAAACGTCTCTTCTCAAAGCCAAAGGTTAGACTTAAATGACCCGATCATGAGTGTCAAGATACATTACAGCTGCACACTCCTGAAACAGCTGTGTTCCTCTCTCCTCCTGTTTCCAGTGAGCTTCACGCTGCCGGAGCAGGGAGAGCATCTGGATCAGGTGATGTTTGTGGAGCTCAGCTCCGACGAGGCCCTGAAGCTCTTAACGCATTATAAAGAGGAAGCTCGCCACCTCCTGCCCACACCTCCCAAACGCAAAAAACACAGACGAGGAAGTCAAAACCGCCCTGTTCATCAGTGTGGTAAGAAGAGAAGATTTCACTTCTTGCTGTTGCATCGTTGAGATCTTGCTCCTAGAGCATGATACTGAATTTTCAAGTCACGAACATGTGCCTTTTCATTTTCCAAGGATGGAGAGGAGGTCCATTCGGCTCACACTATACATCCCAGAAAGCACAGGTAAGCTTGTTAACATGATGTTAACAATCAAATCTGTAGGAACCAATGGTGGACAGTAACAAAGTATTTTTATCAGTATCTAGTTTATTTGACTACATACACAAAGTATCATACTTTGAACTGAAGAAATTGCGATAAACGTGAAGATGCAATAGCGGTGTCCGATTCTTGAACAAGCTGATTCTTTTTAATTAACCTGTTAAATCATTTCGCAAATTGCACTGAACGATTCATTTGTGAATTGGACTGATCGGACTGCAACTGTTCTCAAGCCAACAACTCACTGATTGAAATGATCCGGTCAGAGCGAGTCTGCAGTTAATAATTCAGTGAATTCACAAGTCTGCTTCAAAATGAGCCGAGAATGGCAGATCCTCAAAGCTTGAGTGCGTCTCATTGCGCAAAAAAAAAAAAAAGTTACTAATACCAAATTTTTGTATTTATTAATTGTAAATGAAAATCATATTTAGGTCACGACTGTCTGTTGTTTGTTAACTAAATGTCCAATAAAAGAGCAAGCTGTTTGTCCACTCTTTGAAGGAGCGGACTCCCGACGGAGGGGAAAATTACGATAAAAACACAATTAGGCTGGTTTTGTTTCGCAGACCTGGCAACCCTGCGTGAAGTATATGTTAAAATTACAAAATAGTCATTCATTGATTCGTACATTTTACTTTTAATACTTAAAGCACACTAGAAGTCAAATACTTTCGTACTCTCACTCTAGTAAAATTGAAAAAGAGTACTTAATACTTTTACCAGAGTAATGTTTTTTTTTAGGATATTTATACTTTTACTCAGGAACTGTATATATTGACGGATTGTGCTCTTAGGGTCGCCATCCGTCTGCCTTGTGTCGCTCTTACGGATGCAGCAGCGACCCACAGCGATACAGGAATTATTACAGACCGTACACTGGCCAGGTAAGAAAATCATATGGGTGCCAGTCTGTGGACGTTTAAAAAAATAGAATGCATATACTTAATAGATCTTTGTTTTTCTTGCAGTGGAGCTCGTCTGAGCAAAACCAGAGTCGTTATGGCAGTGTGTATTATGGCTGTTCGAGTTCGAATCGCTCCCAGAACTGATCAACACCCCAATCAGCGTTGATTAGCAGTGCTTCACCTTTACAAAAATAATTGGTTCTGTCTGTCTGTAATTTCTTTAGCTAAGGTCATTGCTTATAATGAGGAGCCAGCTTGTGTACCAGAAGGCAGTTTGTTTTTAACAGGTAGCTAAACCCAAAAACTCAACAGTCTGTCATCATGGCTTTTCGCTGTGGAACACAAGCAGTTGTTCAGAATGTCAGAGCTGCTCATACATGTTTATATTCATCTGTTACAATTATCAAGGACTGTTAGAAATGTATTTTTAGGAATGTTCTGAATTTGATACAGTTGTATTCTGCTTTCTAAACACTGAATTATGATTGATTTCATCAACAGCCATAGATTTTTACCAATAACAGTGTACTGTAAAGAAGACATGTCTTAATATCTCTACTCATTTGCACTACAGACATTCAATAATTTTGTAAATGTGTGTAAATCTTTCTCCAGAGCTTCTCCTTGCCATTGTCACATTTAGCTCTTTGTGGCTTGTAGGGGAATATTCTCTGTTTTAGACAAATATGTATTGTGGAAACTCCACTAATACATTTAACATCAATAGTGGGACTACAAAGTGAATATTTTCCAGGTAATATTTTATTAACTTGATAAATGTTCACTTGAGCTTCTTTGAAAAGACTTTCACTGAGAATCCCAAACTGACTCTTGCACCAAATTAAAAGGTCTTCAGTCATTTATTTTTAATCCTTTATTAATTTTGTATAAAAAGATGTTTCTTTAAATTCTGTCACCAAGAATAAATTTCTAATTAAAGTCCGTCACAAATAATAGATTTCCATAGAAAATGATGCGAAATACACTTTACATGTATACAATACAAGAACTTCTGTATATATATATATATTATGAAAATTATTCAAACTTTTAATGGCCACCAGTATAAAAAAAAAAACTACTGTTTTGTAATGTATGTTTTTGCAACCTTTCAAACAAGTCCCTTCTACAAAACACTACTGCATGCAGAACAAAATAAACTGTTAGCCCTGATAGATCATAAAATAGATTAAAAGAATAGTTAACCAAAAATGTTAATGTGCTCACCCTCTGGTCATCCAAGATGCAGATGAGCTTGTTTCTTCTTTCTGTCACCAAGAATAAATTTCTAATTAAAGTCCGTCACAAATAATAGATTTCCATAGAAAATGATGCGAAATACACTTTACATGTATACAATACAAGAACTTCTGTATATATATATATATTATGAAAATTATTCAAACTTTTAATGGCCACCAGTATAAAAAAAAAAAAAACTACTGTTTTGTAATGTATGTTTTTGCAACCTTTCAAACAAGTCCCTACTACAAAACACTACTGCATGCAGAACAAAATAAACTGTTAGCCCTGATAGATCATAAAATAGATTAAAAGAATAGTTAACCAAAAATGTTAATGTGCTCACCCTCTGGTCATCCAAGATGCAGATGAGCTTGTTTCTTCATCAGATTTAAAGAAATGTAGCATTGCATCAGTGTCTCAGCAATAGATCCTCTGCAGTGAATGGGTGCCGTCAGAATGACAGCTGAATAAAACATCACAAAAATCCACAGCACGCCAGTCCACCAGTTAATAGCTTGTGAAGTGAAAAGATGCATGTTTGTAAGAAACAAATCCATCATTAAGACATTAACTCAAATATGACTCCATAATCCATCACAACACTTCCTCCAGTGGGGAAAAAAAAAAAAGTCTTGTCTGAATCAGGAGAGAAATCTGCACAGATCAAGCACTGTTCACAAGCCAAAACAAACATGTGTGTGGATTTTGATGTGAGAAACAACAGGAGAAGGCCTTTTTTTTTCACTGGAGGAAGCATTACGAATAATGGACTCATATTTTAGTGCCTTAATGACGTATCTGTTTATTACAAATGCGCAGCTTTTGTCTCAAGATGTTGACTTTCTTGTCTGAATCAGGAGAGAAATCTGCACAGATCAAGCACTGTTCACAAGCCAAAACAAACATGTGTGTGGATTTTGATGTGAGAAACAACAGGAGAAGGCCTTTTTTTTTTCACTGGAGGAAGCATTACGAATAATGGACTCATATTTTAGTGCCTTAATGACGTATCTGTTTATTACAAATGCGCAGCTTTTGTCTCAAGATGTTAACTGATGGACTGGAGTGGTGTGGATTATTGTGATGTTTTTATCAGCTCTCATTCTGACGGCACCCATTCACTGCAGAGCATCCATTGCTGAGACACTGATGCGATGCTACATTTCTCCAAATCTGATGAAGAAACTCATCTATATCTTGGATGATCTGAGGGTGAGCACATCGTCAGCAAATGTTCATATCTGGGTGAACGGTTACTTTAAATGGTGTAATTACTCCTGTTTATAAGACCTGCTTGTGCAACTATTCAGAGGCGGTTGAGTATCTGATTAAATTCAGCAATCGGGCATCACCCTCTGATACAGCAGTACTGCACCCTTCGCTGAAGGACACATCTCTGACCACAGGGGGGAGCGCTCGTTTAATTGGAACATTTTCTGTAGAACAGAGTTGAGAAAATTACATAGAAATGCGATAAAGAATGTCTTTTGAAATTCCTGTTTATGTATTTGTACTCTGTTTTTGATGATTTGTAACAATTGTATCCTATAAGCATTGTGCATATGTAAAGAGGATGTGAATATGAAAACAAACAGCAATAAGCTAAACAATTTATTAAAGCAATAAGCCCCGTGAAGCCGTGGTTTAAAGTGAATTTATAACTAAGCTAAGGTACGACACGAAGCGGAGTGCCTAAAACCCCCTTAGCTGTTATAAATTCACTGTAAGCCATGGCTTCTCGGGGCTTATTGCTTTTATAAAAGGGTTATTCCATATATATAGTAAGGTTTCACAAAATAAAACGGAGCAAATAAAACAACAGACAGGTAAACAAAGGTGTATGTTTGTAGAGTAATTTACAACAGCGTCGAACGTGGTTCAGCCAATCAGAATCAAGGAGCGGAACTATCTGTTTTATAAATGAAGGCTTACCGCTCGACTCAGAAACAGTATTTCAGTGGACTCATGTGCCTCTGGACCTCCATGTCTGTAGAAATCTCTCACTTCCTCTGTTGTCAAAGTGCATCTTCACAGAGTAAATAACACATAAATGACTGGTTCTTTAAGCTAACAGCTCATCACGTGGATTCACAAATCATATGAATGATGTTTACCGGACATAAAACTCGGCACTGGGTCGTCCTGCACTAGTGTGGTTCAGCGCAATTCCCATAAACACCGGTTTGCTCAGAGAACTGACGGGAACGTTCACCTGTGATGAGAGTAAGAATGACAACAAAAAAAAGACAGATGATGAGAACACAAAGCAGCATTCATTTCAACAATTTCCCAGTACGGGTTTGAAGCATCGTCTATCGAATGTAAATCCACAGATACACACCTCATCACTGATCTCTGCACACACCGAGGAGAAGATCTCTGAAACAACGGCTCTCTCTTTACCCTGCAGGAGATCAGCACATATGGCCTCCTCACTGACCCCTGGACACAACATCTACAGACACACACAGATACTACTGCATTCCATTTGGAATAAAGATTTTTAAATGTGTTTGAAATAAGTCTTTTCTCCTCACCAAGGCTGCATTTGATCAAAAATTGTGAAATATTACAATTTACAATAAATTTTTTCTATGCGCAGTAGAGATTCGTTTGGAGCCAGAGTCTGCGCAGTAGAGATTCGTTTGGAGCCAGAGTCTGCGCGGTAGAGATTCGTTTGGAGCCAGAGTCTGCGCGGTAGAGATCCGTTTGGAGCAAGAGTCTGTGCGGTAGAGATCCGTTTGGAGCAAGAGTCTGTGCGGTAGAGACTGGTAGAGATTCGTTTGGAGCCAGAGTCTGCGCAGTAGAGACTCGTTTGGAGCCAGAGACGACATACCCCGTTTTTATAGCATCACGTTACTAGCTAAAATCAAACTTATCACAAAAACGAACAATTCAACCATCAATTGCGAACGAACAACCATCTTTCGGAAAATTGTATTGGAAGTGCAATTTATTTTTTTATTTTAACTCCAGTCCCATTCGTTTACATGGAGAGGGCAGGGTTTATGACCTTTACTGCAGCCAGCCACCAGGGGGCGATCATAGACCCCTGCAGCTTCACTTTTCAGGACGTGGCCTGAATGATAAATGTGGCCTTGGTGAGCAGAAGACTACATTTACGAAAGGACACCTGATGATGGCAGTAATGAGCAGCTCTCAGTGTATCTGACCTTTGGCTCAGGATGACCTCCAGGTATGTCTAACAGGCCTGCAGCCTCTGCCACTTTCTGGCTTCTCCTCAGCAGGACGACGTCTCCGTCCGCCGTGGACATGACAGCACCGACCCCCAGCGGCTGAGCGAGGAAGGCCTGCGGATCTGCGCATTCGTTCTGTCCGTGACTCTGCAGCCTACCCGCCTCTCGTGACCAGTTAGTCCCGAGATAGTCTTTATAACAGGTCAGGCCTAACTGTAATGTGAGCACACACGACTGCTCATCTTTGGCCAATCTGTCGGAGGATTTATCAGCACTTTCTAATTGGTCTCCTTCACCACGTTGTGGCTGTGTAAGGTTTTGGGCGGCCTGTTCTGCCACGGGTCCTTTTTCCATGACGGACAGCACCGCTGAATGCAATCTGAATTTAGCTCCATTGAAGAGCCACGGTTCTTTGGCCACTCGGTCACTCCATACAGCTTCAATGTGCTGCTCGATTTCAGGAAAACTCTGCCGATTGAACCTAGAGTGGGAGTGCAGCAAGTCAAAGATTTTTTGTAGCATCAAAAATTTATATGTATAGAGTAGGGCTTTCAAACGATTAATCGCATCCAAAATAAAATTTAGTGTTAGTGTTTACATAAAATATGTGTGTGTTCTGTGTATATTTATTATGTATATATAAATGCACACACATGCATGTATATATTTAAGAAAAATGTGTATATGTATATATATATATATATATATATATATATATATATATATATATATATATATATATATATATATATAT